GTGTTTGCGCGGTGTGCGTCTGCTGCTGCGTGTGCGTGTGGTGGTGCGTGTCGTGTGCGTGTCGTGTTTGCGCGGTGTGCGTGTGCGTGTGCGTGTGCGTGTGCGGTGGTGTGCGCGTGCGCGTGTACAACAAGTAGGTTACGAGCGTCATAGCTAGCACACGCGCGGTAGCGAAACGTTCAATTTTGGGACCAAGCGATCGAAGGCGAGATCCAAAAAAGTACTTGTAGAATAATTGGTTCAGAAAGCCCCGCGCTATTTAATTTGTTAACCTCAGAAAAGACGTGCATGTGGTGTTAATTAGCCTTTTAGAGGACCGTTTGCGAGTCATTAGGCTTTAGAGAGCATTTGCAATTAAGAGAGGCTGCTCACCATTATTAGAGAGTCGACTCCAGAGACGCTCGTGAATATAGTGGAACTCATTGTAGGAAATAAAATGAACAGGAAATTGCAGCGGGTTTGAGCGAGGGAATTTAGAGTTGGAGCGTGCCATAATGACGCAAGAGTGAACGAAGTGGCCACTTACCGATCAATGTCCGAAACCCACCCAATAGGAGATAGGGAGAGGCGCCGAGCCGCGAAGGAAACACGTGGTCCACCGGAAAAGGGCACGGCCGCGTATAAAAAGGGGAAGGTCGGAGACGCGGAAGGGAAAGAGAAGAGAGAAGAGAGAAGTTCCCAGTCTACGACTGACGATTGCTAACTAGGCTGCCCCTCGGTCGAATAAAGAACATTTCCTGCTGACTGCCTGTTTCATCGCCTTCTTTCAATATACGGACTAACTTCTCAACACATTAACACAAACAATATTTGCACAGAGCCAGAACCTATCAATTACTAAGTTCCGCATGAGAATTTCGCAAGTTTCCTCGATACACATGAAGCGTCGTTGAATACACACACACACACACACACACACACACACACACACACACACACACACACACACACACACACACACGCACACACACACACACACCGCGCACACAACACACACACACACACACACAGCACACACGAGCTCATGCCACCCGGGCTCAGTGGCGAAATTCAAACTAATTATTTCACTTTCCAGCGGCATAAATAAATAATATATATATATTAATATACATGTGCTAGAAAAAATTAAAAATATAACAAATTAAACGACAGAATGTGTCTAAACTTTGCGTTTTGAAAACTGTAGCGTCGACATGCGACGTTTTTTGCATCCGGGTTCTTTTCATCGCGCATGTGTCAGGGGATGTTGCATATGCCAAATCAGCCAAGTGACGAACCAGATTTCTGACAAGACCGCCGCACACTATATAGCTTACTTAAGCAACTTCCTTAAGCATGCGCATCTATAGCTTACCTTAAGCATCTTCCTTAACCATCGTTTTCCCCTCGACCATCTTCTCTTAACATGTCCCTTAAACGCATTTCTTTAAACATTCTTCCTTAAGCGCGCGCATTCTATATAGCTTACCTTAACACGGTTACCTATAGCTACCTTAGCACGCGCTACCTATAGCTTACGCTTAAACATGCGCGTTACCTATTAGCTTCCTTAAGCACGCCGTACCTATTAGTCTTACCCTAAATACGCTACCTATAGCTTACCTTCAAGCACGCGTACCTATAGCTGACCTTAAGCACGCGTACTTATATGCTTACCTTAGGCACGGTATCTATAGCTTACCTAAACACGGTACCTATAGTTACCTAAGCCACGCTGTACCTTATCTTACCTTTAAGCACGC